GCGTCACCAGGCATTAACATGTGCGCCGCGAGGTACCGATCGCGAGAGTCCCATTGTGAGTTGAGCGACAGCCTGGAGGTACCAGATGCTCCGGGGGATCGGCGCCTCCTGTCCACGATGTCGGGCCTTTTCGCGTCACCTTATCGTGACGTCTCGGTCCGAGTAATTACGGGTAATAAGAGTGTGTAAATCGCTGTTCTGCTAGGGCCCCGTGGATCAGGCATTAACGGCGTCGAACTTTAAAAATGCGTTTCGACGTTTCGAGACAAATTATTCGTATTAGGGTCTTAGTCAATAATGCCGCCAACTCGATTCGATTTCTTTTAAATAATTACAAAACGAGCGTTCCACGACAGATTGCCATCACTTTGTCGGTATGCACGAGAAACACATTTATATCAAATAGCAATAATGAATAAATAAATAAATAAATGAATGAAGGAGAGGAGGGAGCAAATGAATAATGATTCATTTGATTTTAATTGAGTGTAGTGTAATCATCATTCAAAGGTCCCATTCATTTTTCAATTTAAATGACTTGTTAATGACTTTGTCGTTGCTTTTCTTTTTACAACCATTGATTAATAATGCCGATGCTTCGCGTTTTAAACCATTCGACGTCGTCGTCGTCGTCGTCGTCGTCGTCGTCGTCCATCCCATCCCCTCCCGCCCCGCCATCGTCGTCCCCCCCCCCCCCTGCAATAAAAATTCAACTATCTTATTTTAATACAGAACATAAATTCTCACATTGCCGTAACAAATTGCATCTACATATCTGGCCAATTTTGCACGCACGATATGTAAAATTTTTATTTATAGTTTCGCAACAAATCGGATCTAATGCTTTATACTTGTGCCCTTAATCAAGCCGTCGGGCGTACTAGATTTTGCAAGAAAAATTTCCTTATAATTAGTTACGCTTCGGTCGTTGGTATTGGTGTATTATCTCATGCTGTTAAGTGTCGTTATCGCGCAATATTATGCAATGCGTTACGCCACATAAATACACCAATACCATAACGTTTCATAAATATTTATTGAACGTACAATAATAGTTTCGTGTGGTGGTATTGCGCATCAACAAGTGCGGTGAATAATCTTTACCAATTACCAATCTACATCTCCTCTCCTCGACGATGTAGCCTAGCAAAATAATGTATCGCTATGATAAATAGACGCGAAGAAGTATCGGCCGATTTATTTTTTCTACAATGATAAACACGTATAATCATATAATGATAAACGTATTATCTCTTAAGGATAATTAATAAATTAAACTCGTGGTGCCTCTGACTTATTTGCATTACGGTATTAGCGATTGAACTCCGCCTATTGGCCAAACTAACCACGAGTCCTACCACTGTCGCTTTTACGATAAGCGTCGAATGTACAAAGCGTCTACCTCCATAATAATAAACATCATATGTTCATACAAAACATCGGCATGCTCTTAGCCATTTACTTTTCAAGTATCAGTCAATGCGAGCCAAATATAAAATCGAGCCAATAAATACAGAGTTTCTGTTACATAATAAAAGAATATCGTCGCGTTGATCGTAATAAGGCAAAAGTGCTGCAAGGGGGCCGCAAGGCTGGAAGGAAAAAATCCGCCGCCTCGTCGTCAAATAGTCCTAAATTGGCCAATCGCTCGGATATAGCTAGCAAGCTTACGTAATGCAACCGTTAATGCACGGGGGACTAGATAAAGTTGAGGCGCTGTCAGCATTACGTTGGCTCGTTGCTCCAGCTCGTCGAAACTGACGGCTAAACTTATTAACGTCCTTGCTCGTTGTGTCGGTCAGGATGTCGACTTAAGCGAGAAGAGCAGTCGACATCCGTGTAACACGTAATTATCAGAATGGTATAGTAGCGACTTGACCTCTATTGAATCTGGAGCCTCGGATACCATGCCAGAGCGTGCACTTACCTAGTACAAGAGGGAGAGGAAAAAAATTAGGTCGATACGTGCACTACTGTTATCCTTACACGAGGGGACTGCGAGGGACTAGCAACGAGACATTTTTCTCGGAGATATGACAGATGGACGGGGAGGGTAAGGGAACAGCGAGAAAGTCGGAAGTACGGATATTGTAATACGCGTATTGACATATTTGTGATAACAGCATCGGAAATATTATTGGAATGACATTTTCAAAGAATCATTGGAAAGTCTTTTCTCCGGAGACTCGCTCTCTCAGCCACTCCTATTTTTACACTTACATACACTTTCTATGTTCTTAGATGGGATTCGTATTTCTCTATCTCTCTATCTCTCTCTCTCTCTATATATATATATATATATATATATATATCGTTATTTTTTTAATACGGAAGCAGGATTTTCCCGATTTTTCATCTAATAATCAAACGAGTCCATAGCTTTATGGTATCATTTTCGCGTACTAACCCCCCCCCCCCCCCCCCCCCCCCCCCCCCCCCCCCCCCCCACACCCCCCCCCCCCCCCCCCCCCCCCCCCCCCCCCCCCCCCCCCCCGCTTTACCCTCCGTCCACCGACGCATTATCAAATCGGCTGATGCTCGAAAACCTAAAAAAGACATTTGCCAATGTAATAATCAACAAAATGGCCTCGTCTCCTTAGTCTACTTTATAAAAAATCATCAACAGCTCGATTATTTTCCATGATTCACCATTGTAAATAAGAGCGTGTGAAGAGGTTTTACCGTTCTCGAGCCCCGGCGTGTCCTTATCGAGGCGTTCCAGACGCCTACCTCTCCTCTACTTTCCACCCCCGTCGGGATCTCGTGATACCGAATCCCGCTCGGACACTTGCCTCTCGAAAAATCACGGGAAAAGGATCTTCGTCCGAGCGGATCAGCAGATAATTAGGCGCGAGCGGTTAACGCGTGAAATCCCGACACGGGGTAGGTGGGGATTAAGGAAGGGTCGGCGGAGAGATACAATGGAGCCGTCCCCCGCTCGTCAAAAGCTCGTTTCCTCGTGGCGCGTTAATGGGGCCAAAATGAGACGTCGAAAGTCGCCGGGCGGGACGCGTCGGCGGGTCGTTACGCCAATGTCAACTCTCGCCGCGCCGCCTCGTTAATGACCCACGGCCTTGTGCATAAGCGCGCGCTGAACCTTATCTCGGCCTCTCAGGTGGGAGTTGACCGGGCTCCAAGTACGTCATCCGGAGATGCGAGCACGATAATTAAATTATTAATTACGGACGCGGACGCGAGCACGGGGACCGATCTATTAAGATGCCCCAGCCGAGATAAGGAGGCGTCCTCCTCGGGGCCCGAAACCTCATTCCCGCCTATTTTGTACGTGCGTGCGTGCGTGCGTGGGTGCGTGGGTGCGTGCGTACGTGCGTGCGAGTACACACCCACGTATCAGCGCGCGCGCATAAACACACACGTGGTGAGCCATAGATGACGCAGCGCAAGAAGGGTGGTGGGGATTGGAGAGGGATGGCGCACGCAAACCTGGTAACGTTCGTAATGGGGATAGACTTTTTTTTGCCGATTTTGGAGAGATCTTATTTTAATGATCTAGGCTACTCGCATTCCTTCGTCTACGTCAGTCTCTGTGAGTGATGTTTCAAGAAACTGACGTACAGATTTTAATTAAATATATTTTCGCAATTTTCGCATGTATAAATATATCCAAATGATATTACCAATGAAATGTTGTAATGAAGCAATTGATTTTTAGAACAGAATTTAATTCTGTTCCAATAATGCTTATATGCGAGCTGTTTAATGGTCAAACGTATAGACCCAAATATCATCTAACGGGCTGAAACATTTAAATACAGTAAAATAGAAAAATTCACCGAGGCAAAGGCGCGCGTATTAATAGTAACGGAGACATGAACTTTTATCCCTTGGCTAAGTTCGTCTCAACGCGCGTTGTCTCTCGCAAACTTACTCTCACCGAATTTCACGATCCCGCTAATGCGGAATTGCTTAAAGCGTCTGGGTCTCTGCTATTATCACGACTCGACGGTGAAATAACGCGAATTTATACTTCGTTATCGTGATAATGTAATAGGAAATAAAGATTTCATCGTGATAGTCGTGATTACGCGGCTTGGTCGACTCGGTCGCATACTCATGGACTCACGGTATTTCTAAATAAATATCCAATCAGTAAGCGCGACCTTTGATTACTTTAATAGCCACGACGCATTAAAATTTGGAGAAACGTATTCACTTGCCGCCTATACAACGGACCTGCCCAACAATACCCGCCCACGGTCGACATAAAGCACGTGCTCTGTCGGTTCATTGAAAAGACAAAGTAGTGAGGGTATCGGGCGCGTCCCATCGTTGAGAAAGCCGGAGGAGTCGGAAATCGGAGTGGGCTCCGGTCGCTGCTCCGATCACTGTCCCGGTCGGCGATGCCTTCCTTCCTACGAACTTGCGAGGAAGCGGAGGCTCGCGCGCACCTGGAGTCTCGCACGCACCAGTCGAGCCAGCCCGACGTCACAATGGAGTCGCGCATCGGGCTCCTACCGCCACCTGCCGAGCTGGAGGTCCCTTACCAATCATGCAAAAGTCACATATGGGGCCCCTTGCGCTAATTTACCGAGGCCGAGTTATCAAAATTATACGGCTCCGCGACTGGACGTTGGCTTCCCCACCTCCATCCGGCCAGTGGACGACGTGGTCTCTGTACTCGAGAATCACAGATTGGCGAGCGCGTGGATGGTTCGATTGTCGAAGCTCGATGCCGATAAACTTCGTCGCGCGGTTCGTTCTATTCCCGTAGCGCATGCGCGATAAAGTGACTCGAAGCCGGGCTTAATCGCTCGTGCTATTTAATCGATTGGATAGGAGAAAGATGATCGAGGATCGGGGAACGAGATTGGCGATTGTCGTAATGAACGAGAGCGGTCGTTCGTTGAGGGCGAAAGAGGGACAGAAGAGAAAAAAGGCGAGTCTGTCAAGCCGTGGAGTAGGTGAGACGAGAATTGAAAAGAAAGAGGCAGAGTAGGAAAAATCGTCTCGGTGAACTCGTCCCCGTGGTAAGCCGATACCCGGTGACCCAATTCTTCTTTTCGTAGGAGCGGCGCGGACCAACAATGGTGAGGAGAGTGACCACGGGGCAGGAACGCGGGGTCACCTGCCTCCAGTAATAATCCGCGGCGACAATGATATTGGAGTCCGATAAGGGAGGCCCCGCGGCTCGTCTGATGCGTCGTGTGGTGCGTCGTGTGGTGCGTCGTGTGGTGCGTCGTGTGGTGCGTCGTGTGGTGCGTCGTGTGGTGCGTCGTGTGGTGCGTCGTGTGGTGCGTCGTGTGGTGCGTCGTGTGGTGCGTCGTGTGGTGCGTCGTGTGGTGCGTCGTGTGGTGCGTCGTGTGGTGCGTCGTGTGGTGCGTCGTGTGGTGCGTCGTGTGGTGCGTCGTGTGGTGCGTCGTGTGGTGCGTCGTGTGGTGCGTCGTGTGGTGCGTCGTGTGGTGCGTCGTGTGGTGCGTCGTGTGGTGCGTCGTGTGGTGCGTCGTGTGGTGCGTCGTGTGGTGCGTCGTGTGGTGCGTCGTGTGGTGCGTCGTGTGGTGCGTCGTGTGGTGCGTCGTGTGGTGCGTCGTGTGGTGCGTCGTGTGGTGCGTCGTGTGGTGCGTCGTGTGGTGCGTCGTGTGGTGCGTCGTGTGGTGCGTCGTGTGGTGCGTCGTGTGGTGCGTCGTGTGGTGCGTCGTGTGGTGCGTCGTGTGGTGCGTCGTGTGGTGCGTCGTGTGGTGCGTCGTGTGGTGCGTCGTGTGGTGCGTCGTGTGGTGCGTCGTGTGGTGCGTCGTGTGGTGCGTCGTGTGGTGCGTCGTGTGGTGCGTCGTGTGGTGCGTCGTGTGGTGCGTCGTGTGGTGCGTCGTGTGGTGCGTCGTGTGGTGCGTCGTGTGGTGCGTCGTGTGGTACGTCGTGTGGTACGTCGTGCTGTGCGACGTGCGGTGCGTCGTGTGTGCGACGTGTGTGCGAGCGCGCTTCCTCGGTTTCGAATGTCGAGAGCCAGTGACGGCGTCACAATGCCGTGTGACGACCGCGAGCGGATCACCTGGAGGAAGTCGCCCCCAGTGCCTCGAATGCCGCTAAATACTGAAAAAACGAAGGGGGAGGCCGGGAATGCCGGGGATGACGAATACTGGATCTGTGTGGTGGTCACTTCTCACCGATCCCTAAGTCGCCCCCCCCCTCTCTCTCTCTCTCTCTCTCTCTCTCTCTCTCT